TGGTTTTCAGGCAAAAACAGTTGCGGTTCGGTTTCCCACCGCACAATGTTGTCTGGAACCATCGAATTTGACAGCGTGACGAGGATGTTGCCGTGCGGCCCAATCAGAGCCGCATGCGCTGCGTGGCATGTGCAGTCGGCAGAACCATCTCGAAGGTTCGGCAAGATTCCCTGCCAGCGCAGCGTAGATGCTGCCACGCATGCGCCTCTACGGGAGTAGGCGCGGGTTTCCTGCCTGTCATCGACGAGGAACCCGAGCCGCCACGCAGCAGGGGTCACCGACGTTGCCCATTTCTCGTCGCGGCCCCGCCATCTCTCGTCGCGGCCCCGCCCTTCGTCGCGGCCCCGCCTCTCTCGTCGCGGCCCCGCCCTTCGTTGCGGCCCCTGCCGCCCTTCGTCGCGGCCGCGCCACCCTGCCTTGCGGCCCCGCCGCCTCTCTTGACGCGGCACCGCCGCTCTTCTTAGCGGCCCTGCCGCCCTTCGTCGCGGCCCCTGCCGCCCTTCGTCGCGGCCCCTGCCGCCCTTCGTCGCGGCCCCTGCCGCCCTTCGTCGCGGCCCCTGCCGCCATTCTCCACCGCGGCCCCGCCACCTCCCTTGCGGCCCCGCAGCCCTGCACCGACCCGGCCCCGCCTCTGCTGGCCCCGTCGCCTGCCCCTGCGGCCCTGGCTCCACCTCTGCTGGCCCCGTCGCCGCTCCACCCGGCCCCGCCGCCGTCCCCAAGCGGCCCCGCCTCACCACCGAGCCGCCGGCGCTGCCGAGCTAGTGCCGAGCCACCCGAGCCGCCCAAGCCGCCCGAGCCGCCCGAGCCGCCTGAGCCGCCCGAGCCACCCGAGCCGCCCGAGCCGCCCGAGCCGCAGCGCCACCTCAGCCGCCCGAGCCGCCGGGTCGCCGAGCCGCCGAGCTGCAGTTGCTGCCGAGCAGCCGTACCGCCGAGCCGCCGAGACGCCGAGCCGCCGAGCCGCCCGAGTCGCCCGAGCAGCCGAGCCGCCCGAGTCGCCCGAGCCGCCGAGCCGCAGTTGCTGCAGTGCTGCCGTGCCGCCGAGTCGCCGAGTCGTCAAGCCTGCTCTTCCCACCACTGGTGAGCCCCTGCCTTACTAGCGCGCTGCCTGCTGCTTGCTTGGCTGCCTGCCTTACTGTTGCTACTCCTGCTCCTGCTTCTACTGGCGGCGGCCAGATGCAGCTCCAGCGACGCCCACGCGCGTCTCTCACGCCCCAGCAGCTTCGTGACTGGTACGCTCAGAGTAGAGGGTCTCTCAGTTCTGTTCGCTGCTCTTACATGATTCGCACTGGTGCTCGGACTGGTCAGCCTTGTGGGACGCCTAGTCACACACCTTCCCGCTGCTTCGCCCGTCTGAGCGACGCCTGGCGTACCGAGTTTGGCGACGAGGCTGAGCTCCCCGACTGGGAGGAGTTGCTTAGGAAGAGGGTAGATATAATTGCTCTTGACTATGATGCTATTCTCACTGCCATGTATGCATTGCCTACTAGTGCTGACCGTGCCGGTCACCTGTGCGTACCGCCCGACCCGGGTATAGAGCCTACTGCTCTAGCTGCTGGTGCGGCTGCTGCTCTGGGTGCTAGTGTGTCTCCTGCTCCAGGTACAGGTGCGGCTGCTGCTCTAGGTGCTAGTGAGTCTTCTTCCTCAGGTGCGGGTGAGTCTGCTCTCTCAGGTACCGCGTCGGCTCCGGCCTCTCACACCTTCACCCTTGACTCGGGGGCTTCCCGCTCCTTCTTTCGAGACCGCACCACACTCACGCCGCTTGGTCGGCCAGTTGCAGTCTCTCTGGCAGACCCCTCTGGGGGCCCTGTCCTTGCTCACTTCTCCACTGTCCTCCCGTGTCCGGCGGCCCCCTCTGGCACCCTGTCTGGTCTTTACCTCCCCTCGTTCTTTACGAACTTGGTGAGTGGTGCTGACCTGCAGGATGCGGGGGTTCACCAGTTCACTCCTGCGAGTCAGCGGGTGACCCACTGCACAGACGCTCGGACAGGCCGACACCTTACCACGTTTAATTGTCGGCCGGGGTCGAGCCTGTACACAATGACCACTGCGTCTCCTCCAGTTGCTGAGTCTGGTAGGGTAGCTGCGTCGGGTCAGGTGTTTGCTGCAGCGTCCAGGTCTGGTCCTGAGTCTGCCCCCTGTTCGTGTCGTCTCCTGTCTCACGAGACTCTCCTCTGGCACCACCACCTTGGTCACCCCTCTCTGCTTCGGCTTAGAGGCATGGCCTCTCGTCTTCTTGTTTCTGGTCTCCCCCGGTCCCTCCCTCCCCTTCCTCAGGGCCCTAGCCCTACCTGTGTCCCTTGTGTCGAGGGGCACCAGCGTGCTGCCCCTCACTCCTCCCAGTTTCCTCCGACAGAGGCCCCGTTGCAGACGCTTCACATGGACGTGTGGGGCCCAGCCCGCGTCCGTGGACAGGGTCACGAGCGCTACTTCCTGCTAGTTGTTGACGACTACTCCCGTTACACCGCAGTCTTCCCCTTGCGCAACAAGGGTGATGTCACTGAGGTGCTGATCGACTGGATCCACGCAGCTCGTCTCCAGCTCAGGCAGAGCTTTGGCTCGGACTTTCTTGTTCTGCGTCTGCACTCGGACAGAGGCGGAGAGTTCTCCTCTGGCCTTCTGCGAGCCTACTGTCGCGCACGGGGCATCCGTCGGACCTTCACGCTTCCGGACTCTTCGCAGCAAAATGGGATTGCTGAGTGCCGCATTGGCATGGTCATGGACGTCGCTCGTACGTCTATGATGCAAGCGGCTACCCCCCATTTTCTGTGGCCATTTGCGGTGAGGTACGCGGCGCATCAGATCAACCTTCACCCCAGGGTCTCCAGGCCGGAGACTTCCCCAGCCTTGCTGTGGACGGGGAAGGTTGGCGATGCGTCGGCGTTCCGGGTCTGGGGATCTCGGGCGTTTGTCCGCGACTTGTCTGCGGACAAGCTGTCCCCTTGTGCTGCTCCTTGCGTCTTCCTGGGGTTCCCCCCTGACGCGCCTGGGTGGCATTTCTACCACCCCACCTCTCGCCGTGTTCTGTCCTCCCAGGACGTCACGTTTGACGAGTCGGTCCCCTACTACCGCCTCTTCCCCTACCGCACTCCGTCCCTCCCCCCGCCCCCGCTCTTCCTTGTACCAGGTCCCCCCCATGTTGACCCCATCCCCCCTCAGGGTCCTGCCCCTTCAGGTGTGTCCCAGGTAGACGCAGTCGAGCCTGTCCAGGTCACTGGTGCCTCTGGTACTGCTGAGGGTGCTGAGCCTGGGGGTGCTAAGCCTGGGGGTGCTACGCCTGGGGGTGCTTTGCCTGGGGGTGCCGCGCCTGGGGGTGCTGAGCCTGGAGGTGCTCCGTGTCAAAACCTATATTTGTAACTGCCTGTAGCTGTAGTTAGTGTAGTTATTTAAATCTGTAGGTGGTGCACCTCTTCACTTGTTTCCTTTGCTATATGTACTTTGAAATCTATAGTGAAATCATCCTTCACAATTTTCCCTTCCCAACTCACTCGAACTTCTCCCTAGGCACAAAACCCGCTCGATACCTAAGTTGGGCCTAGGCTCCTAAGCCTAGGCCCTAGTTAAAACTCACTTACCTCTCATTAATTTCGACACTCCGCCTGGAGGTTCTCCGGGTGCTTCGTCTCGCCGGGAGCCACTCTCTCCACAGGAGCTGCGCGAGTGGTTTGCCCGGCGCTGGAGCCGTGCTGCTGGTGCTGGAGGTTCGTTGGCTACTGGGGGTGCTGAGCCTAGGGGTGCTGAGCCTGGGGGTGCTAAGCCTGGAGGTGCTACGCCTGGGGGTGCTGAGCCTGGGGGTGCTGAGCCTGGGGGTGCTGAGCCTGGGGGTGCTGAGCCTGGGGGTGCTACGTCTGGGGGTGCTTTGCCTGGGGGTGCTGGACCTGGGAGTGCTGCGCCTGGAGGTGCTCCGCCTGGAGGTTCTCCGGGTGCTTCGTCTCCGGGAGCCACTCTCTCCACAGGAGCTGCGCGAGTGGTTTGCCCGGCGCTGGAGCCGTGCTGCTCGTGCTGGAGGTTTGTCGGCTACTGAGGGTGCTGCTGTCGTGGGTCCCGGAGGTGCTCGTCCTGGGAGTACTGGAGCTGCTGGGCCTGCAGGTTCGACTGGAGCTGGTGCTGCTGAGGGTGTTGGCGCTGAGACTACCACTAGCAGTCCTACTGGGGGTGCTGCTGGAGGTTCTGGAGCTGCTGGAGGTGCTGCTGGAGCGGGTGCTCCTGCTAGAGGTACTGGTGCTGTCCCTGCTGTTTCTGGCGTCGCCACGCGGCCTCGACCGTACTTCGTGCCACTCCTGCAGCAGGATCTTGGTCTTCCACGTTCTACTGGTCCTCCTCCTCCCTTAGAGTGTCCACAGCCTGTCCTGTCACAGTTACAGTTGCAGCCTACCTCCCCTTTGCCTGCTCCTTCTCCCTACACTGGTCCTACTGGGGGTCTTGCTGAGCGTCGTGAGCCTGCGTCTTGCCCTACGTCGCCTGTCCGTGCTGCTCGCGCTAGTGGTCGTGGTTCGCGTTAGCGTCCTCCTCCTGTCCCTGGCACGCACAGGATGTCTCTACGTCCGACCACTGCTCCTCTGCGTGCCCCTTTGCCTTCTCCTTCTGAGTCCTCTCTTCCTGCTCTTGCCGACCCGGAGTCGGACTCTCTTCGTGCTGCCAGTCCTACTATCACGCGTCTCCTGGCTACTGTCGTCACTAACCCTTCTTTCGAGTCCACTACTGCGTCTGCCCTAGTTGCTGAGCTCGTCGACTTTGCTGCTCACTGTCGCCTAGACTACGCTGCTTGTCTTGTCGCTGAGTCTGAGTCTGTCTGTCCTCCGTCCGTCGGGGGTGAGTGTGCCCTTGGTACGGACGTCCATAAGGATAGGCAGGAGGAGTTCCAATGTCTGGCAGCTGCTTCACCTCATCCCGTGTCCGTACTGCTTACCCCTGAGGGAGACCCGGATGCACTTGACATCCCGACTCCGCGCTCTTTCGCGGAGGCGATAGAGGGTCCCTACTCCTCTCAGTGGCAGGCAGCTATGGATGCAGAGATGGCTTCCTGGAAGTCCACAGGCACCTACGTTGACGCTGTCCCCCCTCCTGGGGCGAACATTTTCAGTGGCATGTGGATTTTCAGGGTGAAGCGGCCGCCGGGTTCTCCGCCTGTCTTCAAGGCGCGTTACGTGGCTCGTGGCTTCAGTCAGCGGCAGGGAGTTGACTACTTTCAGACCTTCTCCCCCACCCCGAAGATGACCACTCTTCGGGTACTGCTGCACGTTGCTGCTCACCGTGACTACGAGCTGCACTCTCTCGACTTCAGCACAGCTTTCTTGCAGGGCAGCCTGCACGAGGAGATCTGGCTGCGGCGCCCACCTGGCTTCACTGGATCTTTCCCTCCTGCTACCCAGTGGAGTCTCCGGCGTCGAGTCTACGGTCTCCGCCAGGCGCCACGTGAGTGGCACGACACACTGAGGACTATGCTTGCGGCTCTTGGGTTTGCTCCTTCTACTGCCGACCCGTCGTTGTTTCTGCGCACCGACACCTCTCTGCCGCCGTTCTACATCCTCGTGTACGTCGACGACTTGGTCTTTGCCACAGCTGACACTGCTGGACTCGCCTACGTGAAGTCCGAGCTGCAGAAGAGACACACGTGCACTGATCTGGGTGAACTGCGCAGGTACCTTGGCTTGCAGATCACCCGGGACAGAGCACGCCGCACCATTACCCTGACTCAGTCACACATGGTGCAGCAGGTCCTTCAGCGCTTCGGCTTCACGTATTCCTCGCCACAGGCCACTCCTCTGCCTACTCGCCACTCACTCTCAGCTCTGCCTTCGGATGAGTCCTTAGAGTCAAGTGGCCCGTATCCAGAGCTTGTTGGCTGCCTCATGTACCTGATGGCCTGCACACGACCTGACCTTGCATACCCTCTTAGCATTCTTGCACGCTATGTTGCTCCTGGGAGACACCGACCAGAGCACATGGCTGGAGAGAAGAGGGTGTTGCGCTACTTGTGCAGTACGTCGGGCATGGGGCTAGTGCTTGGAGGGCGGAGTCCAGTGGTCCTCACTGGGCACGCAGACGCTTCTTGGGCTGACGACCAGGCTACGCAGCGGTCGTCCCAGGGTTACACCTTCAGCCTTGGTTCCGGCTCTGTTTCGTGGCGGGCTACTCGTTCGTCTTCTGTTCTCGGCTCCAGTTGTGAGGCTGAGATCTACGCCGGGGCCATGGCTGCACAGGAGCTTCGCTGGCTTACCTACCTGCTGACCGACCTTGGAGAGCCGCCTCGTTCTCCTCCAGTCCTGTACGTAGACAACAAGGCCATGCTGGCCTTGTGTCGAAAGCAGAGACTGGAGCACAGAACAAAGCACATTGCTCTCCGCTACTTCCTTGCTCGTGAGCTACAGCAGCGTGGTCAGTTGCGGCTTGCGTACGTGGCCTCTGAGGCCAACACTGCTGATGTTTTCACCAAGGCACTTCCGCCTTGTGATCATCAGCGCTTCTGCACTCAGCTGGGTCTTGTGCCTGTCTTGCCTCACTTGCTCACCCCTTGACCTTGTTTGTACTGTTACATATATATATACCTGCTCTTACTTGTCTAGCCTTATATATATATGTAATCCTGCATGTGAACTAGCCTTATGGCCTTGAACTTGTGCTCGGACTGTGTGGTGACTTTGTGATCCACCCTGGGCTTGCTTTGCTTTGCTTTGCTTGACTGCTCTTGTGACCCCTTGTTCTCCCCCACTTTGCCTATGGGGGTGTGTCAGAACATATAGCTTATACATTTGTGTAGGCTGTAGTGGGTTAGCCCATATGGGGTACAACCCAATTAGGGTTAGTACTTGTACCCAACTCTTTCATAGTTGAATCATTCTCGTTTCAATTCTCACAAAACAATGTTTTTTCGGGGGGTGCGCTTCTAATTGAGTCAGATTTGTAAGCGCATGCGCTTGTATAAGGGAAAAAATGAAATTTACTTTTGAACATACCAAAGTGAAGCTCTCAATAAGGCGAACTCAACCGACCATGCACCAAGTGGGATCGTGCATGGTTTTCAGGCAAAAACAGCTGCGGTTCGGTTTCCCACCGCACAATGTTGTCTGGAACCATCGAATTTGACAGCGTGACGAGGATGTTGCCGTGCGGCCCAATCAGAGCCGCATGCGCTGCGTGGCATGTGCATTCGGGCAGAACCATCTCGAAGGTTCGGCAAGATTCCCTGCCAGCGCAGCGTAGATGCTGCCACGCAGGGGCCTCTACGGGAGTAGGCGCGGGTTTCCTGCCTGTCATCGACGAGGAACCCGAGCCGCCACGCAGCAGGGGTCACCGTCGTTTCCCATTTCTTCTCCCTCTTCTCTATTTTTTTCATTCAGTTTCTTGTCAACCCCGCCTAGCAGGCGAAGCCATGGCAGAATTTAGTGGGACTCACATCCTCTTCAAGAAAAAGCCACGCCGCACATGGCGACTCACCGAGGACGGGTGGTATACCCGTGAGCCACCAGCGCCTCCAGTGCCACCAAATCCCCCTGCACCCCCTTCTCCTCCTGCTCCTCCTGCGCCTCCTGCTCCACCCGCTCCTCCCGCACCTCCCGCTCCTCCGAATTCGCCTGAGTCTGTTACGGCAGGTGCTCACCAACGGCCCGTGCTCCAACTGTATTTACCGGCCACGTTCAATGAATGGTTGGCTGAAGCGGACACACCCAAGGCCCCCAATGCACGCATCCAAGCTCCGGCGCCTGCACCACGGTAGGGACAACCAGAAGCCTGCGCGTGGGATGAGACGGCTGTGGGCGCCGACGATGATGTGGCCGCCGACAAACATGACAACCGCGCCGGCGAAGCTAGAGGCGACGGTGCAGCGGGCGACGAGGAAGACGTCTTCCCATACCGTGACACAACTGCTGAAGACGATGACGGTGTGGAGTCCTGGTGGCGCGACGCACCACGCGAGAAGATGCTGATACCGACGTATCCGCCCATAAACAAAAAACGCCCCCACCCGTCTTCCGAGAATCGAGATGCCCGCCCCCCCTCCCCCAGGCACAAGCAGACTCAACATAAGCGGCAGTCCTACACCGCCCAGGAGAAATTGAGGTGGCTCGTACGGCTCGAGCTTGCGGCATCAGTGAGCAAAGTGGCGCGGGAGTCCGGCATACACCGGAAGTGCCTCACGGAGTGGAAATCCCAGGCGGATGCGTTGAAGGCTGCACACGGCGCACGGATGCGACTTCACGGGCGCGGGAGGTTGTCTTGGTACCGACCCATAGATTTAAAGGTGTACGCGCAACTCCTCGACTGGCGACGCCGCGGAGTTGCGGTTTCGGTCGGCCAGCTGCAAGAGTGATCCAAAGAAGTGATGAAGGTGCTGTTCCCCGACGTTAAGTGGAAAGGCAGTCAGCGGTGGACGAAGCGCTTCCGGACGCGGTGGAACCTCAGAGCGCGCATGAAAACAAAGGTGGCGCAGAAAACACTGGAGCGTAAGTGGATGTTTAACCGTTGATTTCGATGAATGCCGAGTTTGCTTTTTTGCTTTGTTGCCTGTCTCTTGTGCGCGATACTAATCACGCTCCTTATGTGTCCTTCCCTCCATGTGCGCAGACGTGGAGGAGCAGTGCAAAGACTTCTGGTAGTACGTACGTGACGCCTGGAACGAATACGACATTGACAACCGTTACATCATCAACGCCGACCAGACACCGCTGTGGTTGGAGCAGACAGGCGTGAGATCGGTGCCCATCTGCAGCGGTGGGTACCAGAAGGAGAGTGAGAAGAAGCGAACGAGAATGGATGAACTATGAATGAAGTGAGTACAAATATGAAACCCTAATTGGGTTGTACCCCCTATGGGATACCCCACTATAGCCTACACAAATAAGTAAGCTATAATGTTCTGACACACCCCCATAGGCAAAGTGGGGGAGAACAAGGGGTCACAAGACCAGTCAAGCAAAGCAAAGCAAAGCTCAGGGTGGATCACAAAGTCACCACACATTCCAAGCACAAGTTCAAGGGCCACAAGGCCAGTTCACATGCAGGATCATATATAGAGATATACAAGAGTCAAGCAAGCAAGAGCAAGAGTATATATAGGTCAAGGTACAAGCAAAGTCAAGAAGTGAGCAAGTGAGGCAAGACAGGCACAAGACCTAGCTGCGTGCAGCAACGCTGATGATCACAAGGCGCAAGTGCCTTTGTGAAGACATCAGCAGTGTTGGCCTCAGAGGCCACGTACGCAAGTCGCAACTGTCCACGCTGCTGTAGCTCACGAGCAAGAAAGTAGCGAAGAGCAATGTGCTTTGTCCTGTGCTCCAGTCGCTGCTCTCGACACAAGGCCAGCATGGCCTTGTTGTCTACGTACAGGACTGGAGGAGAACGAGGCGGCTCTCCAAGGTCGGTCAGCAGGTAGGTGAGCCAGCGAAGCTCCTGAGCAGCCATAGCCCCGGCGTAGATCTCAGCCTCACAACTGGAGCCGAGAACAGAAGACGAGCGAGTAGCCCGCCACGAAACAGAGCCGGAACCAAGGCCGAAGGTGTAACCCTGTGAGGACCGCTGCGTAGCCTGGTCGTCAGCCCAAGAAGCGTCCGCGTGCCCAGTGAGGACCACTGGACTGCGCCCTCCAAGCACTAGCCCCATGCCCGACGTACTGCACAAGTAGCGCAACACCCTCTTCGCTGCAGCCATGTGCTCTGGTCAGTGTCTCCCAGGAGCAACATAGCGTGCGAGAATGCTGAGAGGGTATGCAAGGTCAGGTCGTGTGCAGGTCATCAGGTACATGAGGCAGCCAACAAGCTCTGCATACGGGCCACTCGACTCTACGGACTCATCCGAAGGCAGAGCTGAGAGCGAGTGGCGAGTAGGCAGAGGAGTGGCCTGAGGCGAGGAGTACGTGAAGCCGAAGCGCTGAAGGACCTGCTGCACCATGTGTGACTGAGTCAGGGTAATGGTGCGGCGTGCTCTGTCCCGGGTGATCTGCAAGCCAAGGTAGCTGCGCAGTTCACCCAGGTCAGTGCACGTGTGTCTCTTCTGCAGCTCGGACTTCACGTAAGCGAGTCCAGCAGTGTCAGCTGTGGCAAAGACCAAGTCGTCGACGTACACGAGGATGTAGAACGGCGGCAGAGAGGTGTCGGTGCGCAGAAACAGCGACGGGTCAGCAGTAGAAGGAGCAAACCCAAGTGCCGCAAGCGTAGTCCTCAGTGTGTCGTGCCACTCACGTGGAGCCTGGCGGAGACCGTAGACTTGACGCCGGAGACTCCACTGGGTACCAGGAGGGAAAGACCCAGTGAAGCCAGGTGGGCGACGCAGCCAGATCTCCTCGTGCAGGCTGCCCTGCAAGAAAGCTGTGCTGAAGTCGAGAGAGTGCAGCTCGTAGTCACGGTGAGCAGCAACGTGCAGCAGTACCCGAAGAGTGGTCATCTTCGGGGTGGGGGAGAAGGTCTGAAAGTAGTCAACCCCCTGCCGCTGACTGAAGCCACGAGCCACGTAACGCGCCTTGAAGACAGGCGGAGAACCCGGCGGCCGCTTCACCCTGAAAATCCACATGCCACTGACGATGTTCGCCCCAGGAGGGGGAACAGCGTCGACGTAGGTGCCTGTGGACTTCCAGGAAGCCATCTCTGCATCCATAGCTGCCTGCCACTGAGAGGAGTAGGGACCCTCTATCGCCTCCGCGTAAGAGCGCAGAGTCGGGATGTCTAGTGCATCCGGGTCTCCCTCATGGGCTAGCAGTACAGACGCAAGATGAGGTGAAGCGGCGGCCAGACACTGGAACTCCTCCTGCCTGTCCTCAAGGACGTCCGTTCCAAGGGCACACTCACCCCCGACGGACGGAGGACAGGCAGACTCAGACTCAGCGACAAGACTAGCAGCGTAGTCTAGACGACAGCGCGCAGCAAAGTCGACGAGCTCAGTGACAAGGGCAGACGCAGCAAAAGACTCGAAAGAAGGGTCAGTGACAGCAGTAGCAAGAAGACGCGTGACAGTAGGACTGGCAGCACGAAGAGAGTCCGACTCCGGGTCGGCAAGAGCAGGAAGAGAGGAAGCAGGAGGAGAAGGCAAAGGGGCACGCAGAGGAGCAGTGGACGGACGTAGAGACATCCGGTGCGTGCCAGGGACAGGAGGAGGACGCTGACGCGAACCACGACCACTAGTGCGCGCAGTACGAACAGGCGACGCAGGACGAGACGCAGGCTCACGACGCTCAGTAAGACCTCCAGTCGGACCAGCGTAGGGAGAAGGAGCAGGCAAAGGTGAGGCAGGCTGTAGCTGTGACTGTGACGAGACAGGCGGTGGACCCTCTAAGGGAGGAGGAGGAGGACTAGGAGAGGGTGTAAGACCAAGAACCTGCTGCAGGAGCGGAACGAAGTACGGCCGGGGCCGCGCGGCGACGCCAGAAACAGCAGGGACAGCACCAGTACCCCCAGCAGGAGTACCCGCTCCAGCAGCACCTCCAGTAGCTCAAGAACCTCCAGCAGCACCACCAGGAGCACCACCAGTCGGACCTCCAGCGGCAGTCTCAGCGTCAACACCCTCAGCAGCACCAGCTCCAGGAGAA